GCCTCTTGGTCCAGTCTTTGTATCCGGACCCTCTTGTCTTGCCGCATCTCGGCAAACTTTGCATGCAAAGTTTCTTCCTCCACTTCTCGTATCGGTATTGCGTAGACCACAGGTGAACTGTTGACACATCGTGTCGCACATAGTTCACTTGTAAAGGTCATCTTGTTCTCATTCCAATCGATCGTCAGATTATGCTTCTGTAACCATGGCATCCCTAGGACTATCTCATGGTTCTTCAGATCTGCCACTTGAAAGGTTGCCGTTTCCCTATGACTGTCAATGTCCATGGATACTGTCGCCGTATGGGTTATAGGACCCATAGCACTTGGTTTTCCATCAGCTAAGTTGACCTGTCTTGCTTTCTTCGCTTGTTTGGTGTGGAGGCCGTATTTGTCGCATATTTCTTTGTCGATGAAGTCTTCAGTGGCCCCCGAGTCGAGCTGTAACGTGTTCGCAAGGAGCTAATCACGTTATCGGTAATAGATACGATAGTTGGCAGGTGGCCTGCTCTTCCAAAGAGGAGGCGAGAGCTGAGAACTAAAGGAGGCTTCGAGGGTGTACTGGGGAACAAAGAAGTAACCGTTCAACCAAGTATATTGAAATACTGTCTGTCGAAGTCTGCCTTTTCCATCGTAGAAACAGGCGGTCTTTAAATACACAAATCTGTTCATGTCTAGCATGAACGAAACTAATCAAAGGTATCAATCGATACACTTTGGTAAAACTCTTTAAGTATCAAAGCGATACTTAAAACAAACCAAGTATCAAAGCGATACTTAAAACAAAACATAAAACAAACCAAGTATCAAAGCGATACTTAAAACAAAACATAAAACAAACCCAAGTATCAAACGATACTTAAAACAAACCAAGTATCAAAGCGATACTTAAAACGAAACATAAAACAAACCCAAGTATCAAAGCAATACTTAAAACAAAACATAAAACAAAACCAATAACCAAGTACCCGTACCGGTTACACGAGCATTGCATATATTGTTCTTTCTTCGCTTTCTCTGTTGTATATCTTCGTTTTGATCATCACATGATCTCCATCTTCTTCTCCTCTTTGTGTGTATAGTGCCGTGTAGTAGTTCGCTAATTTGATGGGTTTTCCAGGTCCACATCTTGGGTCTCCCAGACCACCGTTTACTGGGGACCCTCTTCGTTTTCCGCCGGTAAATCCTCTACTATCATTTCGCGGATGTTGCTTCTTTTCTGATTTTGGAAACGATAATTTCCAGTAGCTCTGTTTCCCTGGTATCCATTGTCCGGTCGGCTTCTACATTCTCGTATCCGATGCCCTGCTTTTCTACACCTTAGGCATAGTTTCCCATTCATCCTTCCGGCGTATTCTTCCTTAGACAGATTCAGAGCAGGCCCTGCTCTTGATTTGTCTAATTCCATTAGTTCGCCTGGTGGTAATGCTCGACTTTCTCCTCGAGGTGCTTGCGGTTTGAAGGTTCCGTCCACATTCCTGGATGATTGGACCACCCTATGTGCTATAGTATTTTCCGAGTTGCTCCGAACCATGTTTAATTTGCTTTCTTTGTCAATTGCCCATCTTGCAAATCGTTCAGCTGTCGTAGAGCGCAGGTCAGAGATTCCCCATACCTCTCGGAGTCTCTCACTGTAGTTTCTCAGGAGGATGATCTAGAGAGTCACATCATCAAACTCGGCCTCATATTCCAACAGTCGACATTCATTCCAGTATGCTGTGAACATTTGTTTTCCTTGCTAGAGTTTTTCTAGCTTTCGTCTTGCTGTTTCTTTGGCGTTGGGGTCTCCAAATTGTTCAAAGAGTGTCGCCTTGAACTCTTCGTACGTGACCCATTCCCTCTGTTTCCGTCCATCTTGGAAGGGCATGATCCATTGTCCCGCGAGTCCTCTGAGTAGAGATTTCACATATGGAATCTTAATTTCATCATGGTGATCTCCGTATCCCTTAACTGCAAAATATCCCTCGCATTGCGCTAAGAATATTCGTAGCTTATCTTCGGCTCCTTCGTATGTGTCGTGCTCCTTTGCTTTTGGTCGTTAGACATTTCCTTGCCCTGTATTTCGCGTGGCTGCAAGAAATGCCTGAAACTGATTTTCAGTCATTCCAAGTATTCTGGTTCCTGGTGCCGGAGCGGCTGGGGCCGGTGGCCCAGGTACTGCGGATCCCGACATTCTCTCGGGTCGTGGCGTTCCAGCAGGAGAGCTCTCGACTGGTGATCCTTTCTCTGGGGTTACTGGGCTTGCTGCTCTCGAGGGTTCTTCTGAGACGTGATCTAGGGCGTCGCTGAAGCCTCCTAGATTAAGATTTTGATCGTCGATGTCAATATCTCCTTCCCGATCTGGGTTGAAGGATGCCGTCTTGTATCGTTTGGCGTCGTACTAGGTGACGCTTTGTAATGTAACGATCCCTCTTTGGATAGTTAGTGCTTGGCAACGGGGAACGATACTTCTCTTCCTGTCTTTCTTCTTCTCCTTGTCTTACGATAGCTCTAGGCCTCCGCCTACGTTACCAATAGTACAAGACCCTTGTCTTCTACCGGGAACGCCTATCATAAGCTTTCGCTAACTCTTCTTCGTAAAGCTCCTTCCTTGGCATAACGATAACGTTGCAATAAAGATAAAGATCGTAAGGGCGTTTTATATTCGTTAAAGTAATAAGTAGGGAAAGTACTTAGAACAAAGCGTGAAGAACCTATCTTCCTCGGCCGCATCGGCCTCCTTATATAGTGTTCTTCCTGTCTTTAATCATGTGACCATGTGCGAAACTAAATCATAACAAACTAATCATATGACCAAAGTGATCACATGCTCAAAACCCATGACCTCATAGCAAGGTCATGTGCGAAACTCATAAATCAATCATAATGCAATAAACAAGTCATATGACTCGACTGAGTCATATGCACGAAACCCATGACATCATAATGAGGTCATGTGTGAAACATAAATCATATGCACAAGGCTTGCCCGTAAGGCATACTCGTAAGGCATACTCGTCAGGCGCATGTCCCATGACTCATACTTGAGCCATGTGCGAAAGCATCACAAATCCCACACATAACTAATCATATAACCCGAATAGGTCATATGCGTGAAACAATAACATACCTGTGACTCATAACCATGTATCACGTGAAAACCCCTTTCCTCGCTAAGCCACATTCGTGACACTTGCACTGCCTGTAGATGTGTCAGCACATCATGAGATTTCCATAAAGGGTATTGACACAGCATTTCTTACCAAAGGATTGAGGAATGAGGAGGGGGAATGTATTATTGATGATGAGAATGATCCTGTAGAACTTGATGAGCATGAAGACGAAGTAGAAATATATTTTGAGTAACTGCCAAGAAAGACTGAGACTGATATTGTACCTTACCTGAAGAATTGTCTTAGTATGATTCACCTTAATTCGACTCCATAGCACATTGTCCGCTTATTCGAGTTTTTACGGTATGGGATCCTTCCCGCCTTCACCGGTTGTACCCTAGGAGATGCTTGCTTGTCAGATATCATATCATACCTAAAAACACACCGCGGATTTTACAAAAAAAAAAAAATCGCGAGCGAGTAGACGTCCCTAGCTATCCTCGATTATGGGGTTCTTGCTGGCTGTACGCCTTATTCGTTGTCGACTCTCGCAATGTTATTCTCTTGATGTGCGTGGGGGGGGTCTTGAGATCTTTTCCGCACAGCAGTTGTATTATCCACCAAGTTACACCTCGCACAGCATAAGATTCCATCTACCAATATTACAAACTCCCACGGTCCCTTCGCCATAGTGTACTGTCTCCAAAAGGGCGAGGGCCTCCCACAGTGCGCTGTTATCCACCCTCCGACTTCCATAGCTACGGATGAGTTAGCGGGACATGTAAGCATACTATATTATTACCCAGTAGGAACCAACCACCGATCCACACAATTACGATACATTTCTCTAATCTCCCAGCTACGACAACTCCGATCACCAGAATTGCAAAGTCCAAGTTTACTTTTTCCCCCTTCCTTCATCTCCAGTTTCTCCTTCTCTACTTGTAATCATGCCCACGGAATATATTATCGCCCCGCCATCATGTAAAACCGCCCCTTTCTCCGTTCTCAGTACATAGTGCATAGGTCACTCCACCGGCTATCGAATGCGCACTCGGTACTGCAACCTATCACACGAGTACCATACCGTACCGTAGAACACCACGGGCGAGCGAGAGAACGAGAGAACGAAATAGCACCTTAGCAGCCTACGATACAACCAATACCGCCACTCCTCCCCTGAAGAAGGGGGTATACGAGTAACGCCCAACAAGCCTTTACACTCCAATTAGTCAGGATTTATTTCCCTCAGCTCACGGTTTCCCTCCACCGCACCAATCCAGAACTAGTAATATTGGGGTGGGGAATGGGGGTGGATGGTAATGCGTGATGAGGTGAATGGAGCTTCTAGCTGCTTGTTGGGGATGATATCGAGTTGGGGGCCAGAGAGGAGGCTATCACGCCTCTCTCACCCTACCGGTTGGTACAGTATCGTGTGGTTTTTGATCGGCGCAGCTGGTGCCTGTAATATTATAGCACCATCGCCAGCTCCTGCGCTGTTCCACGATTAACAGTCCAACATGTTGCTATTCTAGAATGCCGCCTTCTTGTTTATGGAGCGGGAAAGGGTTGGAGACAAGCTTCAGGTAGCACTACCGATTCCAAAACTCTTATGGAGTCAAGAGGTGAAGGAAGGCTGTTTGGCTGAAAGGACCGTGGAAATGTGTTATTGCCATTTTGCTAGATGCATAAATGAATATACCCAACCACGAAAGCTCGAGTGATACTCCATGTCCCTGGAGCAAAAAGTGCAATTACTCGTAGCAAGCCAGTTCCACAATAAAACAGGGGTGGCGAGTTTGTATGGGAGCTCAGATACGCACGGATTCCCCGACGTACCGCCATCCTCGCAAATCCAGTACTCCTTGTCCACTACAAGTATCATATCAAAACAAAGATTGTTTTCGAGCCAAATGTTTTTTAAAAAGTTCCAAAGGCACTGTATATAGTTATATTACAAACCCCGAAACGCACAACTAAAATGTCGTTCGACGACCTTTTTTATATTTTTTCCACTCCTTCCCATGTTTGTAATTTTAATCGACACCTGCCCCCCACCCCACACCAATCAAAAAATAACAAAAAATGACCAAACAAGAAATGAGAAAGTAATAATACAAAAACACGAAGAAATGAGAAAAGATACTAAGATTCGTGCACCCGCTTCCCGGTCTATGAAATTCAAACCGCCAACTCCAATTTGTTCTACTGCGAGACCTCGGCGCCAGCGTGACGACGACGCATGTGATCGTGCGAGAAGCGGATGGATCGCTTCTGGCGCGCGAAAGCTCCATTCTTGCAGGTCATGCCGGGGGCGATCGGGCCCATGTTCTGAAGGCGGCCGGACCCGCACTGAGACCAGGTTCCGTCCGCATTGCAAACGATAGCGCCCTCAACGCAAGCACCACCAGCCTCGGGCTGAGCAGGGGGGGAAGGAGCGGGGGTCTGGGTGGTAGCGGCCGGCTGGGTGCCACTGGGCTGCTTGGGCTGCGTTGGGGGAGCAGGGGTGTAAGTAGGGGTGAAAGAAGGAGCAGAGCCAGTACCGGTACCAGTTGGCTTGGCGACAACGGTGCTGCTCGGGGGTTTGGCGACACTGCTGCTGCTGTTCGGGGGGCTGGCGACACTGCTGCTGCTCGGAGGTTTGGCAACAACGCTGCTGCTCGAGGGGTTGCCGGGGGTTGTTGGTGTTCCAGTGCCGGGCTTCGTATTGTCGCAGGCGACGGGGGTGACCCCCTTTCCGACAACCTCAGGCCCTGGGTTCTTGAATGCGATGGATTCGACGCCCTCCGGGACTGTGCAGCCGTTGCCGGAGTTTGCGCGGAACATTTCCGGGAGGGCTTCGAAGCCCGTGGTGGAAGTCTCCTGGCCAGTGATCTCGACGGTGGCGCACTTCATGTACATTTCCCGGTTGCCGAGCCTGTTGAACCAAGTCCTGTTTTCATTATTAGTCATCTCCTCCACTTGAGTGATAGTGTGAATAGACTCACCAGGCTACTACAGCCTTGCCCTTCGGAAGGTTAGACGGGACCTTGAAGGTAAGGGGATTGACACTATCCAAGGGAAACGCCGCTCCAAGATTTTGTGGATCTCTGTCCTGAGGCCCCAAGTTACCAACTGCCTTGATAGGATGATCTCCCTGCCACGACTGCATGACACGGAACTTGGAATCCTTCGTGGGATTGAGATCGTAGGTGATGGACATCTGACCGGATCCACCACCGTGCACTGCAGTACCCTGGAGCTTGAGCTTCTGTGTACTCCCAGGCTCATATGTTGCCACAACGCCCTCTGGAGCAACGCCATGGCAAGGGAAGTTCGATCCATCGGCTTGTAGAGGATGCTGCTGACTATCACTGGTCTCGACGCTACCACGGATGACTTCAGGAACGAACCACTGCTTTGGCTCGAGCATGACTAAGTGCGCCGAGACAATCTGAGGGAGGAAAACCGACAAGGCGGCGACGGTTGCTGTTGAGAACTTCATTGACAAACGACTTTTGGTTCCTTTGGTTAAAAAAAAAAGAGAAGAAAAAAAAGACTAGCTTCTTTTTGTCGACGACTTTATTGGAAAGAGAATGTGATTTGTCCTGGACTTGCAGGTCTCGCTATCGCTTCGAGTGATATGGAGATAGTTCGTTAAAAGAATGAGTGGATCGATTACAGTCCGACAAACTTTTGTGAATTATCTAAATTCTGGAAACCCAGAGGCGGGTTGAGGGTTAACAACATGTAAAACAAAAGCAAAAGAACAAAAAGGCTTGCTATCCGGGCATCGAGATGAGTGGGGAGGACGGGGTGAAAAGGGCAGGAGGGTGAGGCAGCAATCTTGGTTTTTCTTAGGTTTGTCGGTGGAAAAGGCCTCGGTGATCCACTGTAGAACAAGGGCTCATGATTCACAGACAAAATGGAAAGCAAATAGGGGTGGAGGGGAGGGGGGGACTGGCTGGAAAGCAGACAGTAGGGTGAATATGGGCCACCGAGGGAGGGCTCACCTTAAGTTAAGATATACACCGTAGCCTGGAAGTCCGGTAAGGAATGGAATATGGAATTTATTCACAGAATAGATTCCAAAGGGGGGTTGCCGCTGGCGTGTGTGAAAGGTCAAACCTATCGAAGGTAACAAAGAAGTCGTCAAGGGAACGAAGTGCGTTGGTGAAGGGTGAAGGAGAGGGAGAAAAGACACGATGGCGGGGCGGTCCGGGACATCTTATACACCTCCAGGAGAAAGGAGAGGGAGAGGAGGACAACCCATATCAAGCGGGGTCACAAAATGGCCAGGGGGGACGAGTACTCGAGTACGGTACTTTGGAAAATTTCCTTTCTTTTCCCACCTTTGCTTTTTCCCTCCCTATCCTCTTTTTTTCTTTTTTTCTTTTTTTCTGGTATTCGAGTACGGTACTGTACTCGTACGGGCTTCATCGAATTGGCGGCAAGGGTACCGGTGATTGGTAGTGAACAGCAATTTGTGTCTGGTCTCACTGCAAGGTACTCGAGTGCTCGAGCAGAGGTAGCGGGGGGTTCAGTCATGGAATGATTGTGTGGTGCCTGCAACTCGGGACCCTGTGTGTGCTTGCTGTGATGGCTCAAGCAAACGTACAGTACCTGCATCCCGGCATTTGGGTCAGGTCCAGCAGTAGATCCGCTCATCCTTTCCCATCCAGTAGTTTTTGTGTGACCCAGCCCACAATCAGAGCAATCATCCCTTCCTTTGACGTCTGATAGGCGGTGCCATCCCGCAATTTGCCGGCGCGAAATCTTCCATCCACACACACTCAAGTGCTGGTACCGGTACCGTACTGTACTCGTACTGTACGAGTAATCGTACTTGAGTACCTCGGCCCTGGACAGAGAGAGTGCGAATTCCAGAGCTCGACTAAGCTTCAAGAGGATAAATCCTCACTTGGTCATCCATCCCATCGCTTGCTCACCCTTGACAGATTCCTCCCCCCTGAGTAACACTCCCACCTTCCAATCGCCGTACTCGAAACAGGGGAATTTTCCCATTTGGGACTGTGGCTGTGGGTATGAAGGAAGGGTGGCAATGGACTCGACAAAAATGCCTCTCTCAGCCCTGATCACTTCAGCTCAATACGGTAGCGGTGCTGCTTGTCCAAGTACGAGTACTAGAGTATTCCTCCGTACTCGTACACAAGCCACGCTTTCAGCTTTATTTTTTCTGGGGTTGGGTTTATTTAGGGGGTAGCGTTTCAAAAAGACATTCCCCGCTGGGGCCCTTGCCCTTTTAGGCAAACTTACAATTCTATCCCACTACTGTACTCTTACAGGTCACAACGCTGGCCACTCGGGCTCGAGCACGGTACTCGTAAAGTACTCGTACAGTACAGCTGCTGCTACAGTACCGTGGATTCTAGCGAGGAGGATGTCCGGGGCACAGTGGCGGCTGTAGCTCTGCGCTTGGCAGGCGAATAGATTGCTCGGTCTGACAATCTTCGGGGAGACACTGAGACGGAAGTTCACCCCCTTGACAACGACAACCTTACAATACGGTACAAGTACGAGTACTTGTTGTGCGCATCCCTGGTTGCCGCCGTGGTGCGGTCTGGCATTACCAACTCCCAGGTAAGAAGCGCCATCCGATTGGTGGGCGGGGGTGGTGGTTCAACCAAGCTTTCTTGAATGCCACTTCGGTTCAATACTGCTACCGTATCATGACTGGTTTGGGAGCCGGACAAGAAGTCCAAATTTACACCTACAACATCCGCATGACCTTCTGGGAAGGGAAGTAGCCAACATTGGACAGGCCATCCACTCGACGGTACGGTGCCGTAACGTAGCGGGAATGGATTAGTTAGCGAGGGTGGAAACATGGACGGTGCCGTACAGTACAGTATGAATGAAGCGTCTACTACGGCCCAACCGATGGACCGTCCCAACGAGGGATCAACGAACGAACCCTTTTAGCAGCAGCGGTATTCAAAACCCGCCCATCCACAGGAGCCGCTGTCTGCACCCCCGCAAAAGCGATGGTCTTTGGTGACAAAGGCCAGGGATGGGACAAAACAGATATACGGTAACTCGGCACCGCTGTAATCGATACGATAGTACCATATCCAGACATCTACCGGTAGGCCGTGATATCGCAGCCCAAGCACAGTCCAAGTATAGCATACGGTGCCCACGGTAGCAGCACAAGTTTAGCAACCGGGTATCATACGGTGCTCGTCTCGCACAACGAGCGGTTTTCATGGTACATTACGAGTATCGTATGAGTCGGGTCGGCGCCAGTGCGGGCTTACACACCCCTGCCAAATTGATTTCCCTTGTTTCTTCCGAGTGCGGCAAATTCATCATAAGATGGCAGTCTCCTCCATGCCTAGGCTGGCACTCCCTCTGCTTGAGTAACCCTCAGCCCCAATCCGACACACACGAGAACTCACGCTACGTGTGACCAGGCGCTTACGGAGTACTCGTACTGTACCGGCATTGAACGTAGGCACACAGCGTCCACAAATAGTCTAGCCACAGCCCAGCTTACCGGTACTAGTACCTGCCATGGCTACAACACCATCATCATAACCGTCATCATTATCATATCGTAATACGGTACTCGAGGGCTAAACCCTCGAGTAATGATAATATTTTACCGCACGCATAATGCAAGAACTCGACCGACCACTAAGGCAGAGTAAATAATCTTCCAGGCCAAAAAGTGTATCATAGGATATTGCGGTGCGGTGGGATAAGCCGGGGCAGGAAATCATCTCGACAATGCCCTAGTTATTCGAGTATCCAGCTTAATCTTGGCAAAGTCCTCCACCTACGGTAATTGTTTCACGAGCGGAGACACCCAATATTTCAGTACTACTGTAGGAGTTGTCCGTCTTATCGATAAGTAATGCAAGTTTTGGCCCCAAATTCTGTCGATGTTCCCTGCCGTGATTACAGGGCTGCTGAATCGGGGGTCCTCAAAGGGCAAATCAAGTCCGAGCAGCTACCCTCCCTTGGACGCTTGTTTAATCGTTGATTTGTTCACTCATTCATCCACTCCTCTGGGTCACTACTCCCTGGCGAAGCTAAATTTAATAAGATTTAATGCGACATACTTGTATGTAATCCCTGGTCAAGCAATATTGCCTTCTACCCTTTCCTCCCCTCGGGCTCATCAAAATTCTTAATCCTACAGCGTTGCAGTCCTTCTATGGACCCGTCGCCGTATCACATAAAATTACCGGCACATCATCACCAACCAGAGAAACCAAAGCGATCATTGTCCTGACTAACCTTTGCCGAACGGGTTGCCTTTCCCTTGGAGCACCCGCCCGACAATCCACTCCCTTCGCCACCGTACCGTATGATGCGTGCGCGTTAGCCACCGCTCGAGGAAAGCATGACACAGCCTGGCAGGAATGTAAGGTGTAATGGAAGAATGCATTAACGCGCAATGTATAATGATGGTCCTATTTTCTCGTTCACGAAATGAATGCACTTTGGTCCGAGGGGGTTGTCCGGGGGATGCATACGGTAGTGCCTCTTTTGCGTGGTGGTTGGCTTCTCGCTCCCTCCAGGGGTTTGTAGGGTGGGTGGCATTGCACGATGGGTATGATACGTCGACTTACGTTTGCCCTGTCGCTGCTGTTGGGGAAGGGATGGAAGGGATGATGCGGTTTGGCATGCCGCGATAAATGGGTGTTGCCGATCTGTTCGGTTACTGCTTGGGGGATTGAATCTGCAAGGTGTGATGGTGTGCCCGCCTTGTGGTGGAGAGAGCGAGAAATTGCCTTGGGCGAGTATATCTCTGATCGGCACCGCACAGTCACAAGCACAGTCACAAGCGCAGTCACAAGCATCCGCCGAATACCGCGACGGAGGATCTGAGAAGCGATGGATGGATGGAGGATACCGGTATTGATTCACGCGTGGGAGGTTTATTCCGTTTGGCAATGGCGAGTGCTGGGTTGGGCCTTGGGCAGCGTATTCCTTGGGAGTGGATGGCTGGTGGTGATGCGATGGAAGCGCACGGCATGGGTGAATAAACGGGTAAACGAGAAACGAGCTTCTGCGGTGCCGCGCTCCATTACGGTGAGAGCAACACGGGGAATAGCCCCGTTGTAGCTCGTCTGCACACTATCATACAGCGCAATAGAGTATCATACTGTACCACGGTTCTCCGCTCCTTCCGGACAGAGCGGCAAAAACCAAAATCACGAACGAGTATTCACACCCCGCCCCCTCCCGCCATCGCACCGGAAACTATGTACAGTACTGGTATGAGTAAACTTTACGGTAATGATCCCACAACTGGGGATGAAGCGGCTGAGAAAGTATGATCCCATCACGTGATGCATTGTTCTCCTATGCTGAGGACGGAGCGTTCTGTGCATGCGTGCGGATGGGTGACGCATTCGAGTGATATTTCAAGATGGGGGATAGGAAAGTGGTGCCTTGGGGTGCCTCTTGGGGACGCTCCAGGCTCTCTACTCGCAGACTGGTGCGATGAGTGCACCCTGCAAGGGTCCGAGACGCAGGTTATTAATCAACACTTGTCAATGACCACAGATTCGCAGAAGCGCAATATTCAGACCACATCTAATATTAGCAATGTGACCCTACCCACTGAAGAATACTCAGGCAGCGCCGCCTTAGTCATCACTGTCTCAGACCCCAAGGGGTGTGCTACTCTCACGGGGGTCTGTCTTTACGAAAGGTATGATAATATTATGCAGGTACGGCATGAGCGTCTTACCGACATGGAGGCTTACTTTGGATAAGGTTTGGCCGTCCTTGAGCCATCATACGGTACCCGAGTATGACATGATACTATACCCTGGCGAGGCTTATGCTGCACAGTAGTGCGGATTACCTTACTGACGGTTCTAGTACTGTACGAGTACAGTACAGTACGAGCACAATAATACCCAACGACGATCCATGGTAGGGATAAAATCATGCACAGCAGCACATTGTACTAGTACTGTACAAGTAGAAAATCGGTAGGGTGGTAATCCACCATTCTGGAAAGAGAGAGAATTGTTCATGCATTTTCACTTTTTTGTTATGAATATTATAAACTTTTAATTAAACCTCGAGTTTCATTCGCCTTTTTTTCTTTCTTCTTCTTGCCTTGGTCATTTCCTTCCCTTCCTTCCTTCCTTCCTGTACTTTGTGAGCTGACCTGCTGTAATCTTTG